TGTATGCATCAAACAGGGAGATGAGTGGAAAGCCACCTTCTGAACCAACCGAGGGCTGTTTGAACCCCTGGTCATGTTCTTTGGCCTCACCAACTCCCCTGCCACATTCCAGTGGATGATGAATGACTTATTCAAGGAACAGATAGCCAGAGGAGATGTCACCATATACCTCGATGATATCCTTATCTGCACCAAGGAAAAGGAAAAACATCGAGCGGTGGTATGAGAAGTGCTTGCCATATTACGAGCCAACAATCTCTTCCTCAAGGCAGAGAAGTGCGAGTTCGAGGTACTGGAGACCAAGTACCTCGGAGTCATAATCAGTCAAGGGTCGATATGCATGGATCCCATAAAAGTGAAGGGGATCATGGAATGGCCACAACCGATCAAAAAGCGGGAACTACAGTCCTTCCTCGGATTCACCAACTTCTACTGATGATTCATCCGGGACTACAGCAAGCACGTACGACCACTTACTAAACTTATGGGAAAAGAACAGGAAAATGTGTTTCAAGAAATAAAAAGGAAGCTGGCAGAAGAAGTAGTACGTACTGGCAATCCCCACACACAAAGGGAAATACCAAGTAGAGGCAGATGCCAGTGAAGGGGCCGTCGGAGCTGTGTTATCGCAGGAACAAGAAGGGAAATGGAGACCTGTGGCATTTCTTTCCAAAGTGTTAACCATCACAGAATGAAACTATGAGATCTATGACAAAGAGCTATTAGCCATTATGCTCGCCCTGGAAGACTGGAGACATTACCTTATGGGAGCATACCAGGAATTTGAGATCTGGATGGATCACCAAAATCTTCAATACTTCCGCAAACCCCAGAAACTCAACCGCCGACAAGCACGGTGGATTTTGGAGTTGGCAGAGTATCACTTCACCCTTCATCACAAGCATGGCATGGCCAACAAAAAAGCCGACCTGTTAAGCAGAAGGGCAGATCACAACCAAGGGAAGGAAGACAACGAATAAGTGATACTCCTGAAACCAGAAATGTTCAGGGCCCTAATCATGCCTGGGCAGGAAGAAGTTCACAAAAAGATCTGCACCGTTGACACGCGTGCAACGCGTTCACACATGTAATTTTGCGAATTCTAGGAATGCAAACGTGTGTGTGCCCCGTGAATAATATTAGAGTGCATGTAAGGCATAGAGCGCTACACACTGAGGCAGAAAGCACTATAATAAAAATAATATGAGTAGAGCGCATGGCTTAGACTTAGAACGGCACACTTGTGTCATTTAAGTGTGCAGTCTCAGTGCTTATACACACACACTGTGCCCTCCTCTGCAGTGTATCACTCAATTAAATTCACTGAAGATAATATATTGAAGGTGCTTTGTGCTACATTGATCTATGACGCGCGAACCCTGCTGATCCGGCAATCACCGAGAAACGTCATCCTGAACGAAGAATCAACAAGTCCGAATACTCTAAGGAGTTCTCGGCCGGAGAGAAATAAAACCCGCTGCCCATATGAAATATTAAACTAGAAATGGTTGCGCGGCAACCAATAAAATAAAACTCGCTCACTAGATAAGTTGCGTGGCACTGTAATTAAATCTGTGGAGCCAATAAGAAGACACATGCCGCATGGCACGACGAGGCTAGGCCTTGCCAAGTGGAGAAAACAGCGGTAGCATCCGTGCCAACACGGAGTGCTGAGTAAAATAATGATTACTATCACTACAGCTGACGTGGCACGCAAGGGAAGGGAGTCCGAGGTGGAGCGTTGTCTATTTTCAGTATTTACATTTCATATAGTTAATGGTAAATATAAGAGCGGTAGTTACAGGTAGTCAGCAAGTTTTCAGACCCCCGCAGTTGTACTATGAAGCAGCATGCTTAGTGTATGACGAAAGGATTTTATTTGAAGCTTCGAGCGAGAGAGTATTATTGAACTTAGAATTATTTTGAACACTCTGAGAGCTCGCGAGGCATGCCTTGCTCGAGCGCGCTTGATTCGTTCAAGTAAAGTACAGTAATTGATTGCACTCTACTTAGAGAATATTGTATTGTGATAACTTGAATGTGCATTTGTGTTTTTGGAACTTGATTGTGAATTCCGAGTTATTGCAAGTGGCAGAGGTTCGAACCCTTTGGCTTGTCAGTAATCTCTGAGGTTTTTTTGGTTTATTCCCAAGTGGCATAGGTTCAAACCCTGTGGCTTGTGGACGTGTTTTCTGTGTTTGTGTATCTCTGGATCGCATAGGTTAGAACCCTGTGGATCTACGAACGGGTTTTGAAGTGTTTTCTGCTTGGAGCGCAAGGCTTTAAGTCGTGTTAAGTGTATTGTGAAATGTTGTGGACACTTGTGTGTTGCGCGCGATGTATTTTGAGGGTTATACGTTCTTGTAGAACATTTGGGGGCTTGCGAAATAATACTTTTGCCTTGAGGCCGAGCGATTCTGTCGCTCACCTCCTGTTCCAAAAGCATTTGGACTTAGAAGATTATTATATTGCTAAGCGCGCTATATTATATTGTAACGTGCAAGGATTATTTCAATACTACTGCTATTGTGTGCTTGTATTGCACATCACCCCCGAACTACTGAGGGTTTGTGTGTGTGTGAGTGTGAGTGTGGGTGTGTTAGTGTTATATACGCTAGTGCATTTCTAGCTTGGCGTGCACAGAGCCTCTTCACCGTGCTCTGGGACGTGACATGATGGGATAAGGGAATCGAAGCCTCCCTTCACCACCTGCAAGGAATCACTCAAGAAGCAGGGCTCATGTACTACAACGGGTGCCTATACGTACCACGGGATGCAACATTGAGAGGGGAATTAATTGCCATGCACCACGACCACATCATGGCTGGACACCCGGGAATCGAGAAAACCAAGGAGCTCGTGCAGAGGGAGTACTGGTGGCCCAAGCTCAAAAATGACATAGAACGATATGTCAAAGGCTGTGAGGCATGTCAACACACCAAGACTAACACCAAACAATGGCGAGCCCCACTACACCCACATGCAATACCCTCCAGACTCTGGGAACACATAACTGTTGACATGATCAGGCCCTTACCAGAATCCAATGGGTACAACGCCATCCTAATGATTGTCGATCGATTCTCTAAAGAAGTCATACCCATACCCTGTAATACAGAGCTCACGGCCCTCGGATGGGCCCATATCCTCAGGGACCAGGTGTGGGCCAAACACAGAATGCCCCAGAAGGTGATCTCCGACCGTGGACCACAATTCGTTTCCAAGTTCATGAAGGAGCTGTACAACATGCTACAAATCCAAGGAAACCCATCCACAGCATATCACCCACAGACTGACAGACAAACGGAAAGGGCGAATCAGGAGATTGAAAAGTACCTCCGCATCTTTATCAACCACAGACAAAATGATTGGAGCAAATGGTTGCCCCTCACCGCATTCCAACATAACAATCGAAAACACTCTGCAACCAGGTACTCCCCGTTTGAAATCAATCACAGACAAAAACCCCACTTGGTGCCCCTACAAATCAAGGAAGGAATTAACCCAGCAGCCAAGGAATTCATGGCTGACATTCAAAAGGTACATGAACAAACAATGAAGGCACTGAAAAAGGCAGCAGAAACAATGAAAAAACAGTATGACAAACACCGACAACCCGCCATGGAATACCAGCCAGGAAACAAGGTCTGGCTTGACTCGACAAACCTTCACCTCCCCAGACCAATGAAAAAGCTGGGTGATAAACACGTTGGACCTTTCGAAGTTTTATCCAAACATGGAGCATCCACCTACAAACTTCGGCTACCACCAACTTGGAAAATTCATGACCGCTTTAATGAAGCACTCCTAACTCCCTACTATGCCCCGGAGTTCCCAATCCAAATACAGCCCTCCGCTCCACTCCCAGACCTAGTAGATGGACAAGAAGAATATGAGGTAGAAGAGGTGGTAGACCGACAGGAATGAACTAGGGGGCACGGCAGGAGGTGACACACTAGGATGGAATACCTGATCAAATGGAAGGGGTACCCACATGAGGAAAACATGTGGGTAGATGAACAAGAGCTGGACAATGCCAGGGAAGCAATCAAGGATTTCGAACAAATATCCTTCATCTCCAGACCACCAGCCGACTGGTGGGAAGATAGCGACGAATCAGACAGCTGGTCAGAAATGGAATCCATCACCGAATCTGAAATAGACCACCCCCTCATACAAGCAATACAAGAATACCTAGTAAAACCCAATGCACCAAGTCTACTAGGTGCACACTTGCCATATACGACAGCAGTCAGGATGACTGCCTTAACCGGGGGGTAATATTATGATCTCATGGCTATCTTATCTTATCACATTCCTCATAATCCTGCTATGCCAATACTCTGATCCTGATCGCACCCAAACATGCTGGTACCACGTGTACAACATGCCACTACAGACTCTTGTACTATACATAGACATGAACCAAACTGTATATAAGTAGCACGACTGCAGGTCTTACACCTCAGTCTCGAACTAAAGTTTATTCACCTGATAACTTGGCTCTAAACTCACTCTCTAATACTAAGCGTGCATGCCCCTGTGAACAAACCTGTGAGCAACTTATACATGCCTGACTGAAGTGTGAGTCACATGTAGTTGTTTGATCTTGTTTGTTCTATCGGTTGCTAACAGATTCCTGCCATCCAGAAATGAGCTGAACAAAGGACACTGGCGATGTACAGTCTTCCCTTGTCCTAAGAGAAACAAAGACAGTTAGAATGCCTATAAAAGGCCATAACCATCCCTAGTCCCCCTCTACCCACCCAAATAGCCACCCTGTCTTCTACCGCTGTTGCAAGCTCCATCTCCTCTGGAGATAATCCAAACAAAAAGCAGAAAGTGTTGGAGTCCTCATCTAGGCCTCAGGTGCATTCACTACTTCTTCCCAGACTATTTGCCTCTGATCTTTGATTAGGAATCACACCAAATAGATAACAACAAGGACTGAGAAGCTCGATAAAAAACTCCCAAGCCCACGAATCCTCTCCTGATGCCTTATGAGCCCCCCAACCCTCGAAACACTGCAAACCTGCCCACTGCTGAGGAAGCCTTTCCATACAACAAACTCTCCTGCTCCAGCAAAAAACCCTCCATTCTCCCTGTGGGACCTGCCACCCCCCTTCACTGATGCCACTTTCCCCAAGGTATATGTGCCTTGGAACCACCTCACTGCAGGATTCCCAGAAGATCTCTGGAAAGACATCACAGCCTCCCCCAACTCCTTCATCACAGTGATTCCTTATGGTGCTGGACCAAAATTTTACTCTGAAAACCCAAGAGCTGATCTTCTCCTCATGGAATTCCTCAATAGGTTTGACTTTCCAGACAAAGGTGCAATCATGGCATTCTACCCTGTGGAAATGGGGGAAGAAAGAAAAGGGAGGAACAAGGAGGAAGGCTGCAATTGGAAGAGTGTCTTTGACAAACCATGGCCCCTCATTGTTACCAGTATCTCAGATGACTTCATGAGATTCAATGCTTCACTGTCCCCTCACATGTGGTGTGGAATTTTGTCCCTTTCAACCCCAAAGCTCTCACATGGGTTATCACTGCTTTCCAGGGAAATGTTGTCTACAATGATCCCCCCCTCATTGCTGAAGCCCTAGCTTGTCTCAAATGGGCAGTTTGGTGTGATATCCCTCTACAAAACCTCATCAAATGCATCACTCAGGCCCAGGATAATTTCGGAAACCCTGTTGAGCTCACCGTTAGGATGGCACAATCCTGATGCCTCCTTTATGTTGAAACAAAGAATCTCGATAACAACAAAGGACCTGTCTTCATGCTCATGGGGGAGCCCATCACCAATGACCTAGATCTCCATCAGGCATTCATGGCTCATGTCTGATGGCTTCAGATTTGTGTCAACTGTCAGCAGCTTCTGAATGTTGACAAGATAATTGGCTGTGATTGGTGCAAGAATCAAGACCATCTGAGCCATGCTTGCCCCTTCCCTGGAATAGATTCAGCATGGTATGGGCCTACTGCTGAAGAACTTCGACTTCACATGATGGAACCCCCCAAAAACCTGGGTCATAAATGGAAGGAGGGTGATGCAAAGCTATGAAATACAAGACTGGTATGCTCATTTCAAATGAGATTGTGCCTGAGCACCCCCAGCATCTTGCCATTGCTGTATATGGATAAGGTCTTGTGATTTTTATTAATCAGACTTGTTATTTGCTATAAGCAGCTATAGACTCAAAATAAATCAATATATAGATACTTAAATAATTTATCAAAATTCTGATCTGGGTTCACGAATAGCTGAAGTCAAGGGAGTAAATGAGATCCTATCTCAATCCTATCTTGGTCCATCATCCGGCTCCTCACTCATCAATTTAGGTATGATGCTTCTCTGACCTTAGAGCTTGAGGATGCAGTTAATGTCATATTTGCACTGAAAAGTCTATTAATTGGGAGATATCACGATGGGACGATCACTGAAGCAGTTTGCTGACCAATATTGGTGCAAACCTGAAAAGGCCTGTATCGATGAAATCAGCACCACAGAAGACCAATTTGGTGCAATTCTTGACACCATTATCCTTGCAAAGGTGGTGGACATGGCCTGCATCTTTTCATGTATCCCGACTCGTTCATACTATCTCAGCTTTCGTGAGTTAGTCATTTCTTGAATGTGAGAGCCTTCCTAATCCTGTCTGGTAGATTCGGGAGCTGCTGGAGCAATGGACCATGAAGTTGAATGAACTTTACACATTGCTTGGTGCATATAGGAACAGATCAATGCCAAGTCCATGGGCAACTAACCAACAAGAGAATGTCTATCGTGATATTTGCCTCCTGGTGAACAACCAGAAGGATGAGTCCATCAAAACCTACACCAATGCCCTTTGTATTTTGGATGGCATCGCTTTTCATATTCGTTCAGTGCTTTGCCTTGTAAGAGGATCCAACACTGTTTAAATCAACTTCTGATTGTTTCTTTAGCATGGTGAAAACTTTCATTCGTAAAGATAAGATTCCCTTAGTATTCATGGTACTTGCTCTAACTGTAAGGTTTGAACACTCGGACCACCTCAGAACTACAATGATCTTTGAGGAGACTTTTGAACAAATGTGCAATGTTGGAAGAAAGCTTTCATTGATGCTGTTGCGATATCACCACTCCTGCTCATTCTGTACCCAGGTTCTGGGGAACATATCTCCATCTCGCTTACTTTACAGGTAGGAGTTTTTTTTTACCATCTCGCAAAGGTATCACTGATGTTTGCTTGCAGGTCAGAGGATGACTTGCATCTTACAGAAAACTGGAACTCCTCCAACATATTGAGGAAATGCTCTGGCATTGTATTATCAGTGTCACGTGGGGCTGTTGGACAAGTGACACTGGATTGACAAACTTCTTGACTGAGGCTGCACCATTGATCCAAGGTGACTCTGAGGGAGCGGATACCTGGTTTTCTGATGCATTTGCTGCCCTTGTTCAGTGTAACCAAATCCTTGGCCTGGAGGTTCATGTAGGATTGGCAAATGTTGCTTGGCTTAATAATAGTTGAAACTTCAAGGGAGCTCACAAGGTGGGACCCCAGGCAGAACAACGCAGAGGACGTTCATCATTGCTGGCACAGAAACACCGAGTAAAATGGAAACCAAGGTCTTGCAGTGCCCCTCCTCAATTACTTCTTAATGCCTGCCACCTCCCAGCTTTTACACTTGGTTCGATTCCCAAGGTTCACTGCCTCTTGACATTGCAAGTGGAACAATGGGGCCACAGACACTTTCCGGCGCTCTGGCCCCATCCACCAAACACTGGCTTGAACATTAATGACCTCCCCACCATTGAGCTCAGTCAAATCAGCGAAGACAGTTCTTTGTTTGTTCGAGCAAACAAGTATCCCTTCTTGTATCACCAAAAGAGGCAATGATCTACATCTGTATCAGCTAGCCGAAAGCAACTAAAACAAGATCACAACCTAGCTCATTCTGGAACAATGGTTGAGTCTCCCCCCATTTTAGTGGGTGAAAGATACCGTACATTCTATCATTTGCCATTGCTTAGTAACATATGTCACCCATCCCTTTTTCGAAATCCTATAAATGATGTTTTTAGTAGGTTCAAGATTGAGCATTGCTGGATGGATGGCATAAGTGCTGTATTAATGCCTCAGTTTCACTTTCTGTAGCACCCACTGTAGAGTCAGTGCTGGTATATCACCTGGATTTCGATTTGGCCATCAACAATCCTGTTTGCACTCTTGAACATTTTCATGACCACAACATACTAGTGGTTGGTGCAAAGACATCTCAGATCACTTGGACACTGTCATCACTTTCTAAGATCGGAAATCCTGATGCAAATCGAGATTTTCAAGGTTTGTGTTTTTTGTTTGCAACACGACAATATATTAACATAGTATACAGACCACCAAGGACAGGGCCATGACATGCGTCTGTCTTTACGTGAACTGCATGAAGAAAGCCAGGAAAATGAAGGTCTTATTTGAGTGTGCTTCGTCTGCCCTGCCACACCCAGGATTTGCATCCCTTACAACTGTAAGGAGCGAAAATGAACTCTTGTTTCAAAACTGACTTATTCATAGAATTTTTTCCAGCGACATGGGAGTTTTCAAACAGACGTCTGTTAACACAGAGCGCATCTTTCGGATGGAGGGGTATCCTGCATCTGCCACCCACTTCTGGTATGTGGCAATGAAAAGTACTATTGACCGCATCAAGCCCTATTGTCTTGGGGTTTGTACAGTTATCCAAGTTCATTGTGGCCGTCAGCTTTGGTACCTCTTTCAGCATCGCATTAAAAAGTGTGACAAGTTGATACATGCGTACCATGACTGGGATTCTGACTTTGTTAATGACCCAAAGCAATGGAAAGCAGAAGTTGTTGTCCTCGAGCCCAGTAATGTCCTGTATGTCCTTTCAATGATATGATGTGATTACTGCTGATAACAAGAATAGTTTCATTCAACCAGGCACTCTTCACACAGTAGTGACACTCAAAAATTCCATTGTCAGAGGACAACATTTTTACACTACTACAACTTTGTCAAAAACCGTTTCGGGTTGGGTTGATACTTATATACATGGGGTCAAAATCGAGAGAGTTCTGTACTTCCAACTGAGGGATCTCCTCTTTTGACTGATTTTGTACCTTGAAGATGGGCTGAACACTGATAGTAAGCCAATCAACTAATTGTTTTCTCTGATGCCTCATCAGGATGGTTTCAGGCATAGAAAATGATTCGTCCAAATTCAAGGTCAATACAGCTGAAGGGCTTCTCAATATAGTTGCACTCAGCAACTTGCTCCTCTCTCTTCCTGCCTTAGACATTGTTGCTATTTTTAATGCTCATAAACCAGATGCATATGGGCCACTCAGCGAGGGGAGACAGGCATATTTTGACATAATATATCATCTTCAGGAGCAGTACTCTCTGATTCTCTTTCCCGACACACCACTTGCCCATGATGCATTCACCAAACCTTTGGATTCTCTGGTCTCACTTCGCATTGCTGATTTTGCAAAGACTTCTGCCATTCATTTTGCATGATCTTTGATACTATCTGCAAGGAAAGCACAGGGTTGGTGGAAGGTGTACTTGAAAGCCTTCAAACAGTCAGTGGAGAGGACACTGGACTTCTTTTTCGCTTGTACTGGAACATTGGGAGACTGTAAATATGAGTGTCAATAGACCATTCCATCTTAGGCCCACTTTCTTCATCTGGACAAGGGCCTGTCCACTTGGTATGTGATTTCCTGGACAGCATTCATCATTTAACCTGAATCATATAGATGTGACTGTAGATGAATGGGCAGTGATGGTGGTGAAAGAAAGAGTTGCTGAAGTCATGCAATCTCCAGACTGATCAATATAAATGTACTTTCCCATATATACTTCCCAAATATGTTATCAGTGGTTATGATTTTGGATGTGGCCTACTGGGAAAACTTTGCTCTCTGTATTCAAATGCGCTATTGCATATTCCCGGAACAATTGTTACATTAGACCCTGAAGTCCTTTTTTCAAGGATATGTACTGATGACAAGTTTATCAGAAGCTTCCAAATGTCCTTATTCCCATCGCACTCATGTGTCTGATCCTATCTAAACTTCAAGCCTTATAAAAGCTCTTGTCAGGTGTGACATCAGCTCTCCCTCTGATATCATCGGTGACAGCCTTAACCCTGGGTCAACATCCTTTGCTGGGGCTGCCCCGTTGCAGGAAAACAAGGCAGGTGCAGAGGCTTCAATCCCTGTGGAACAGAAATTCCAATCCTATGTACCCTTTCCAGACAGCAGATGCGGCAGAGAGCATTCACTCCGAGTCAGTAATTTTTATACACCAGTTCTGACCTTGATATTTCCCTCAGTGTGGAGAATGAAGTATTCCCACTGACGAGATGAGTGCTGCGTTCATGGCCAACCATAATCATCAAAACAAGTGATCACTAGTGCTGAATGGCAGGATCTGGTGCAGTATGACCTTGGGGTATGAGGACACACAGTAGCAGACGTGATATGGAAAAAGGGATGCAGAATGGGGGGGATTTGTGTACCTGGAACCCCTGTTGCTCAATGGCATTTCTGACTAAGCAGGCCATCCAGCTCAATGACTATTTTTCAAATTCCTTCAAGACCAAAAAAGGAAATCGAGTTCAGACATTGGACTACACTAATTATGATGTGCGCTCTCCATTCCACTTATTTCTTTAAGGTTGTATGATGATTTCCCTGCCTTTGAAGCATCTGAATTCTCCTGATGTGTCTCAGGCAGTGACTATCCGCATCTCCTTCCTTCCAACACTGGTCAGTAGTGACTTTGCCGCTACCATTGACAAGGAAGCATCGGGCAGAGAGACCATTCAGTGTTTATAAGAGAGACATTAGTCTGACACAATAATTTGTCCATTCAGTGTGGATGTCACAAGAGCACTGTGGGAATTGAAGATGGCTGGATCTTGTCATCTCAAACCTCAGTTCTCCATTTTATGGTATTAATCAGCATTTTTGATGTGTAGTTGCCTTCATCCATATTGGAATCTTATAGTATGCACCACAGGGCATGATTTCATGTGTCCTAGGTGAGAATAAAAGTGAAGAGAACACCCTGCCCAAATCAGGCATCTTCATCTGGCTAAAGCGACTTAAGCCCAGTTTTAGCTGGCTCGTATATGGGCTTGAGCCTAGAATGAGTCTGCACCAATACAGACTCAGGCTTGCCTTATTACTATTGATCAATGGCCACCATAATCCTGAAGTCTTTTTTAAGCAGATATCACCCCATGACAAGCCAATCCGACTCTCAACATCATTGCTGTCTTCTATCTAATTGATCCAAAATACATGCCTGCATGCCAATCATTTCAGCCATTGCCTCCAGTGAAATAAAAGCCTCCATCTGGTGCGACACCAGTCTTATCTTCCCCATCAAGATGCCATCTGATATTGTTGGTGACAGTCCCAACTTGGTGTCGAAGTCCTCTGCTAATGCTTCCCTGTTGCAGCAAGATGATCCAGGCGTAAAGGTTCCAAGCCCTAGGGAAGGTGGTATTGAGAACCCGAGTCCCGCAGCAGAAGCACAGACCTCCCAGTGAGTAATTTTTTCACCCCTGCATTCGGAGCTTGATATTGCTATCAGTGTGGAGGATGAAGAGCCCACTCCCATATGTGAGGAGCATCATGCCCCGCGTCCATGGGCAAGCATGGTCGTTGAAACAACCAAAGACTTCATGGACTTAGAAGACTTGGATGTTCACTGTATCATCACTGCCACCGAAGGTAGAGTCTACCTCAGCATTAGCATTCGGTACACTGGGGAAAACTAAAGTTTCAGCTCTGTTATATTGGCTTCTGTGTCTTCACATACAGTTTTGGATCAAATACAGTTTTATGAGCTTTGTTTACTGGTCTGTTGTATTTTCAATACATTGAAAATGTTGCTCTTCTCTTTTCATAATTTGGTTAATTCCTTGTGTTATTTCTGCAATATGATATTACGAGAAGATGACTCAGACATCTAGCACTTTTTCATTGTCATCCTTGTGTAAGAAGCGACATCATGCACTTTATGGGAGGAAGGCGATAATTTGTATATAACAAGTAGCACAAGCAAGCAGCAAAGCTCGCTCCATTAGATTTGGTCACACCTTCAGCTGTCCTTTTTTGCGTAATGATAGTCAACCTTCAAGGGCTCAAAAGATTGCTGACTGTCCTGACATCAATAAGGCTACTCGCTTCCCTCCCCTCTATTCGCTCCCACATACTGCCTGTGCTGCAGTTTCCTACCACTCTCCCAATGTATTGCACTCAGATGCTAGGAAATGCCAGGACTATCAATGGCAGAGACCACAACTATTACAGAACTGACATGTCAACATTGTATTTGTTTGGGAAATACAATCTGTGCTTTGCAGAGGGGGATTTAGCGTATAGAGACCAATAAAAATGCGGCAGGTTTTGTGTCGGTCTTTATATGTTACGATTTATTCTTTTCTTTTCTTTTCTTTTCTTTTTCTTCATGACTCAGCCGGATTACGCGTACACGATCATCATGGACTGATTCCCACAGTACTATTTTTAGTATACCAACGTGTATTTAAGTAGAGCCTCAGCTGGTCTAAACCCCAGCTTCGGCTAAGGTTTAATCTACCTAACCTCGAACTCCGTCCTTCGTGACTATCTGTCCCATCAGCTTTCATCGCCTTTGACTTACTGGAGCATCGCCTACCGAAGTGCGAGTAGCGATCCTAGTACGATCTAAGTCGATAAGAGTTAGTGGCTAACATTTAGCCGAAGCTCGATAAACATTGCCCAGCACTACGCTGCCCAACCATCTTAATCCCTATACCTTCCAGCTAGACCGTAAGGTCGCTAGGCTGCACTTGGACAATAGTCAGTGCTTATCGATTGTCAAGTAACCAGCCGGCACTCAAGTTTCTATGCTGCCCAACATAATCCCAATCGTTCTTTTAACCGTCGTCGCACTCTCCGTGCTGCGATTCCTTCTTAATGACCCCCTCGGACTGGTGGTGGTAACCATCCTCCGAGTATTCCTCGCTTGCGCACTCATCCCATCCCCAGTGTTCGCGGGACTACTCCTGCTACTCTGGGTCAGATTTCTGCGCCATCTCTAAAAACACGAACCCTTTTATCCTCGCTCTCCAGCTCGCCTCCATACTAACAATTTTGTTGTTAGTATTGACGAGCACTTCCGAGGACTGCGAAATCCAGTTGATGAACGGCTCCAATTACGAGACCGACCTCAGCCTGATCATCGTGATCCTTATCGTCCTTACCATACTCGCTGTCTACCAGCTTGCATGGTCAATCGTCGACTTACACCAAGGGTAGATTCAATTACGAATGCCCTGGTCTGAATCCATTCTCGCCGTCTTCGCGACTTTTATACTCTTTTTCTTGTCCATTATTTTGTACCGACTACACCGCTGTTTTCGACAACAGAGGCAAGTCCGCGCGCAGCTTCCGTTCCACTACGTTCCCAGCACCCCGGCGTACCCTCCGCCAGTAATTCACATTCCCACGGCATCTCAACAGACGATACAAGATGTCGAATCCGCCACCTCCGGAGAACCTGGAGGATCCCTCTACACCTCGTCGCGACCCAGCTCGCGATCCTCAGAGTCGAGCACCGACTCCTACAGAAGCACTACCAGCGAGTCAGCTGACTCCGTCGACATCACCGATACCTGGAGCGTACTCCTCGACAGAGGAGACTCGCCCCTACCAGGCCTCTTCGACCAGTCTCCAGTCGAAGGCGAGTCAAGCCACCATGGAGGCAGACAAGGCACCAGGCATCTGGTCGAGGGCGAAGAAGGCTCTGACACCGAGTACGAAGGGGACGAGCTCTCCGAGTGGGAAAGAACCCGGCTCGACGACCTCCTCGATGACATCTACCCGAATGAGGAGGAAGATGCAGCCGATACCAGAAAGTGATTCAAGTGGACAGACGCTGTCTGGAAGAGCGAGAGCAGGAGATATAGAGTCAGCAGCAAGGAGGACTACGACAGTGATTCCGGAGAGCTTGGCCTCAGAGCCTCCGCAGCTACCACCAGTACAGCTGGTCCACAGTCTCTTCCAAGGTCCTGGCCGACCAATAGGGGAGAGCCAGTCGGCTGGCACCCCAGCACCAGCTGGGTCTATGCAGACAGGGAAGAGACTGCTATGGCCAGAGTCGCGCCTGGAGGAGAGCCCGACCCGATCCCTGCAGGGCCCGAGGTCCCAACGATCGCTCCCACCGTCCCCTCACACGAGCCGACGGATCGGGAGCTTTGGAGCGAGTTCCCAGACTACGACCCTGAGGAACTTGGAACAGTTACCGTTTCCGAGCGAATCGCCGGAGTCTCCAATTGGGAACCGTCCGTCGCGTCGAGAGCCTTCGCCACGCCCGTCCCGGCCTCCCAGCGTCCTTGGCCACTCCTCTATCACACGTACATCGAGTCCCTCGGACTCACAAGAGATGCCCGGCTCGCCCCAGAAATCGAGGCCCGAATGGAGCGAGGCAGAGCGCATGACGCACGCATTCGACGTGCTGAAGAGGATGCCCTCCAAGGGCCTGGAGGCTGGTGGGACCTCCCCCTTGAGCCCGACGCCACTCCCGAGGAGGTCGACAACAGAATCCGCGCCGCCGCCGTTCGATATTCTGGAGCCGCTCGAAGAGCAGGCACCGATTTGGAAAGAAGAAGGAGAGCCTGGAACGTCTACCAGGACGAGATCTCCGATGGAGACTCCGATATCGGGCGGTGGAGAAGAAATAGGGAGATCGACAGGCTCGCCAGAGAGAGGAAGGAGGCCCAGGATGCCAAGTCGGCCGCCGAACAGCGCCCTCGAAAACGAGGTGATGACGGCA